ACATATATATATATATACTGCACATAGTTTCAGACAGTTTCTAAAAAATGCTCACATTTTAGATTTATATATCAATACTCTCATTTTATTTTTTTCTCTCAGATAGTATTTTTAATCTAAAAATATCTAAATTGCTTCTGAAAAAAAAAATTCTTTTGTTATAATATTTTGATCACCACAACGAAAACACTATAAAACATACTTCGAATATTATAAATGATCTAAATAGGCTTATAATATCAATTAAACTAATTATAAGATTAAAAATATAATATTATAATAGTTATGAACAATGATAACCAAAGAGATAAAATAACATGTATATTTTTCAATAACCTTTATATTATTTTCAACTCATTGATAAAATATTATAAATATTATTATAAATACTATAAATTAGTAAAAATATTTTAATAATTAATTTTTTTTACAATTTACACTCTTGTCCTCTTACATTTAAGTTTATAATATATACCTTTAAAATATTAAAAAAAATGCATAACATTCTAATTAATCTTCCTTGACTAATATAGATTATTAGTTATATATTAATTTTATATTGATATATTTTAAAAACTCATTATGATATTATAACTATTAAAGTGAATGTGTCAGCTAGCTTAGCTGATAAAGATTTTAATAATTTATTATAATATTTTATGCTAAAATTCTGTCTTCATTATTTATTACTTAAAAATATATATACTTTTTAAGTAATAATGATCATAAGCAATTAGTAAATGATCATTCATACTCAGTATGATAAGTTTTGAGGGGTGATGAGTCGAATTTAGTAAACTTGATTTTTATTCGATAAGTATATATAAGCATATACGGTGCAAAAATATATATATATATATATTATTATATATATTATATTATTTTGATAATAAATATATAATTATACAGTGTTTTAAGTGATAAAAAAATATCATTACTACATTAAATGATGTATATATTAATTCAAACTTGAGACACATAACTTATGATATATTATGTCTCGGTAGAAAATACAGTTAGGTAATTATTAGATCTTTGTTGGAGTCTTATTAGCTCGGCTAATGATTGTACTGCAAAGAATAATAGGCGAATAATTCCCCATGCTCGACAACGTGGAGTGCACAGTTGTGTTTGGTGTGCGAGGTAGAGCCGAAGACGAGACAAGAAGAGAGGCTGACGTGACGCACGTAGACGGTCGATCAGGTGATCATCACACGAATATTTCAGCCCCTCTCGACCTGGCCATGCAACCCGTCCTCGTCGCCGTCCGGCCGAGGCCGGCTTCCTTTGGTCAAGAAGAGCACGCGCCCGTGTAAATCAAGTTAATCTCCAAATTAAACTGATATATTACATTATATATTATATAATAAGAATGTATACTAATCATTAGGACAGATTATGGAAAAGTATATAATAATTATCTTTTTTTTCCTATCAATTTTCCTTTTTTTTTTCCTCTAGAAAAACTTTGCCCGGTCACATTGGGTTGATTCTAACGTGAATTAGTCTATTGTCATACTAATTATAATATTTTTCAATAGGAATATAGTATTTTTTATACAACTATAAAAATATTATGTCTATATAAAAACACTATGACTAATTCAAAAGTTAACATAAACTAAGTTATCGTTATTAGTTATGTTTAATATAAGCCATTTTTTTGGTTTAGGAACCAAAAAGTTGATTTAGAAAAATGATAAAAACACTATAATATCATTCAAAAAAATCATAACTCATATAACAATGAATCAGTTCACTTCATCGATTGATCTAATTAAAAAAAAACTTCAAGTATCATGTTATTGTTCATACAATAATATGATATCATATTTTTATCATCTTGATTATTTATAATATTTTTAAATAAGTCTTATAATGTTTTTAAGTATACTTTATGGTGTTCTTATTATGGTAATCAAAACACTATAATAAATTAAAAATATTATAAATTGATGAAAAGAATTAAAATAATTTAGATATTTTTTTGAATTAGAGGTACTATTTAAGAAAAAATATATTAATTAAAAATATCAAAAAATATAAATATTTTATTAAAAAATCGTCCATAATATTTTATGTATCAATGTTATCATATTTTTATGGAAATTCACCCCCACATCATTTTGCCGATCCAAAATCTTATGATTTGGTTCAGTGTTTTTATTAAGTAGTGGGCCCTCTTTCAGCGTGTGGGGCCCACACGAGAAGTTGTATTAGTGGACCGACACGAGAAGCATTGAGATGTGACGTTTGTCTTTATCCCTCGCGAGCCTCTCTCTTCGTGATCCAACATTCGGCTGTGGAAGACCGGAAGGAACGAGTTACTAAGACAAGGCCGAGAGCTAATTATGGCTGCTGATGGAGACATACAGCAGATCAAGCTCACGCCACCCTTGAACGAGTCTGGTTAAGAGGCTTTTCTTAAGCGACTGTGGATTGGGTGGGCTCCCATAAATCAACGATCTATAAAGGATCACTGATCATGAGATTAATATCAAACTCGCCCTTCCACTAACATTAGTTTATCATTGTTTTTAAAGAAATAAATATTAATAAAATATTTCCCTTTGCCTTATTTTCCAATTTATGAAGAAATTATTGATTTATCTGTCAACATGAGTGCAACTTAACACATTATCCAACTCCTTATTACTAAAAACAAAAAAGAAAGCTATATCATAAATTAAAATATACAGATACTTATATCCATTCCGTAGTGATGCATTACGAGAGATAGGACGAATCACATGAAGATAATTGGATATTGGCCCCTATATATATATGTATACATATATATATATATATATATATATATATATATATATATATATATATATATATA